GGGGAACGTTTGGCCCTGGCATGTATTCAAGAGGTCCATCCATTTGGTGGGGGAGGTGTCATGGTGTGGGGCGGTAATTTATGGAGATCAGAAGACTAACCTGAACGCTGTGCAGTACAGAGACCAAGTGTTGCAGCCAGTTGTGCTTCCGTTCTTACAAAACCAACAGCATGGGACATTGTTTCAACACGACAATGACAGGCCCCTTACTGCAAGACTGACTCGGAACTTTCTTAACCAGCAGAATGTTGGTGTTTTGCCCTGGCCTGTCCACTCACCTGATATGAATCCTATTGAACATCTGTGGGACCATCTTGACAGACAGATTAGAGCACGCCATCAGCCTCCCGTTAACAGACAAGAATTGCAGCAGGCCCTGAGAGACGAGTGGCAATGGATTCCAGGCCACGTCATCAGAAGACTGACGTCATCGATGAGGCGGCGTATCACAGCATGCATTGAGGCAGCTGGAGGTCATACACGCCTATTGAAGGCAACTGTGTCGACAATGAACTTGTAGTGTGTCTGACAATTTTTTGGTGCCATTTCAGACAACTTTTGAAAATGAAATTTCTTACCCCACCATTGTTTACCTTCAGCTTACATTACCTGTGATTTCATTCAAACTGTGGTTGATCAATCATTTGTTACCCCTCCCTAGATTATATTATAATTCACAACAAAACCTCTTCTTATTATTTTTTTATCGATCATGGAACTCGACCTATACTTTCTTTTGCCGCCCAGTTTAGATCTTCTCATACAAAATAGAATAGTTTTTTCAACATAAATTCCATGTCTACATCACTATCAGTGATTCAAAAGGCCACCTACAGTTTTACCTCTACAGCAGAATGACTTTCATATAAATATATACATAATTGACATTTATTTTTATTTTGACCCGCCTTGTGTGGAAAAGCTGGAATAAATCTGTGAAAAATAACATTAAAAAATGTGGTTTTAAGGTCTGGTGGATACAAATTAGGTGATATGAAAGGTGATATGTCCAAGATTATTGCACTAATATAGACATGATTACATGCGCGCGCGTGCGTGCTTGTACTAGTCAGGACCGTGGCTGATTTATAGCATGTTTTAGTTCCTTAATAATGAGTGCCATCCAGTAACAACAAGTATCATCCTTTAACGTCTTTTGGTATGACGCGTCCGGGGCTCAAAACCCGGACCCCGAGGCGGCCCCGGATAAAGGTTAACGATGTGTCTAAATACATGTTAAACTATGGGAGCTTGGACAATCAGACTGTCGTACGTCTGTGTTAAACTATGAGAGTTTTGACAATAAGTACTGGGACTCGAGTAAGCTATAGTTATCCTTCTTCCAAAGGAGAGATACGTCTAGTTACACGGTTTGGCAGTTGTGTGGTTTGGGGGTGTAAGTTGGAACATAATTCTGTCTTGTTAATGCCACAGAAGCACTAAATCTAAACACAATTCCAACTTGTTGTCTTGGAAACTCAAACAATAATAAAAATGAAAGATTTCTGAATAGCAAAAAGCCCCAGTTCAGCACTTGCTCGATCTTAAGTTTCACAAAGAAATTGTGTACAGTTAAGAGTAACACTACTGTACTGAACGAACCCTACCAGCTTATTGCAATGGAAACATCAGAAATATGGTTGACAGATGAAGCCCATTTCTATATCCCCTCCAAAAGGACATTTGAACAGATAATAAATATTAATCCTGTCCACGATCATTACAGTAAAGGTACCACATGATCTGTGTGTGTCTGGTATTAATGTGCCTATCAGCTCTGTGCAATGCAAGTGATCATTACTTCATGTAACTTTCATTGGACGATTATATTTTCTGTGCATCATGTGGTTGTGAAAGGTTTATTTTATGTTCAGTAGTTATATTCCCATTAATTATGACAATGTTGTCTCAGCACAACATATTTTATGTTGTACATTTGTAATGCCATCCTATGTCTACGATAATGTGAAACTAAACAGGTCTGGTAGTTTAACATGCTGAGTAAATCAAGCCTGGAATTGTGAAAAAGCAAAACAATTAGGTAATGTGTGGATGTAAGATAAGGCTACAAAAAGGATGTGTTTCAGGCATGAACAACTTTGGCAAAACACATCTTTTATTTATGTCCAAAAATAAACATTCTTGCCAACACACTTTCTTGTGTGAAAGGTTGAGTGCATGTTATTTAGTGCCTCATTCAGCAGTATTCCAGCTTTCCTATTGTGGCCTGTGACTGAGAGCATGAGCTACTAACCATGCCATCTGCGTATGATGACACCCAATCAACAAAGTCTGAACACCTGATCCCCATTCTGCTCTTTCCAGAAGCGTGAGGTACAGTCAAATCTTGTTAATCTGACAATCGGCTTTATCAGACACAAATGATGTGAACCGATTACATCAGTGCCATTTAGACCCGTTAGTCCTGCATTCAGACTCCAACACACCTTATTTGCATCAAATTGCTGAAATCACCCATTAATCAGTCTCGTTAATCCGACATAGTGATCAGAGTACTCCGTCATCTGCCCGCGAGTACATAGCCCCGTGTTTTGATGCGAGATGAATCGGCTAGTAGCTGCATATTACAACGGCTGCAGAGATAAACGTGCTTAACAAAAAACAATTACTGCTTTAAATACACAAAATTAATCACATGCCTAGATTACCTCAATCTCATTAAAATCGAATACACGTTCTTCTACCGCTGAGGACATCCCATTACAGGTCACGTCAGAACGACCATTTTCGAACTTTGACCAACCAATGAAATTACTAATAGGAAGTCAACGTTAGCCACTTAAAAAGCAGCTTTCTTTAGCTTTGCGCTACCTGTTTCAAACTTGCGACTTCCATTCCAGACTATGCATTTTAAAATATTTTGAATAAGTCATACAGTCCGTAACAGTTGTTTTGTTGAGCTTTAGAGGTTGCATGATTAGAAAACATATTCCACCAACAATGTAACATAACAATTTGTATATTTCATTTATTTATTTTTTATAACGTGTTTGCATCGATAACTATCGTGTAGTTGTCTGATTTTCGATCACAAAATTTACTACTTAATTTCGTTTATCCGACATACTCGTTAATCCGACATAATCATATGCAACCAACCATGTCGGATTAACGGGACTTGACTGTACGTTGGACATTTTTCCTCACAGGGTCCCCACAGGGGTACACTTTTTGCACACACATGCACACTTAAGAATCCAAAGTAATTTTTAGTCAGCCCAGTAAAACATGGCATCAAGCTTTCAGAGAAAGAGACAGGTTTTCATTGATGAGAGAATCACAATTATAGCAAATATTTATTAATTCATAAAAAAACACTGCTTAAATTCCACTTTATATGAGGTGATGCAGATATAGATATATATATATATAACACATGATTCAATGTGAGAAATATCTGGAGGTATGGAACCATATCATAACTGTTTTCTTTATCATGTGCAAAGAATCTATCAGTAATTTGACTTAAAATTTTCCTATTCTTTACCCAGTCATGATGAACAGGCAGTTTAGAACACTCTTCAGAAGAAATGTTCATTTCCTTATAGTTTGTTGTTTAACACTACACAAAGCAATATTCCGGCGCTCTGTAAACAAACAAGTAGACCAGACAATCCAGTGAATTGATCAGGAGCATCGATCCACTCAGTTGGGATATGATGACATGCATCAACCTAGTCAGCAAGCCTGACTCACCCTATCCTGTTGGTCACCTCTTACAACAAGCATATAGTCGTCTGTTACAGCAAGCATGGGTGGCTGAAGACCTAGACCGGATTTTCACGGGTCTCATTTCCTTATAAACAGTGACTCAGCCGGTTATCAAACCACCGACCTTTGGCCCTCTTGGCAGAAGCTCTATCCACTACACTGCGGAGGTGGTTCATTACCTTATAAACAGAACTAGTAACAAAAAAATATTTAGAGTTCAGTAAGGAAGGATACAGGAATGAAATGAACCACCTCCATGGTGTAGTGGATAGAGCATCTCCCCAGAGGACGAAAGGTCGGTGGTTTGATAACAGGCTGAGTCACACCAAAAGATGTTAAAATATGGAACTTCTTGTTTCCCTGCCTGGCACTCTGCATTAAGGAGATAACACAAGGTCTGGTCTGTTCAGAGTCAGTACACTAACCAAAAATGCAATAATCTTGAACGCAATATAAAACCCTGTTTCACCTTATCTCACCTGAAGGACTTAAAGATAGGCTGTTCCAGACACCCAAAACATGAAAGATGCAATTGGTGACACCATTCATACATTGCATAATTTCAGAATATGTCAAGATAATATTAGTAATATTAGACAGTTTAGTTTTAATGACACAACTAACTGAAAAAACAAATACACAATATTTTAGAAGGAGTTGAGGTGAATCGACATGTTAATCACACACAAAGTGAAAACAGTTTGCCAACCACTTGTAAACAAAACCTTTGAAATATAAAGGGTAATGATGAGACAGTACTGATAGAAAATGTTTTATTCAGGATTCCAAGCACAATGTTTATGAAAAACTGTATTCATTTCCACAACTTATGGATTCTAAAATCTTATTGAAGGACATGTCTAAAACTACACAACTAAATTACATTTCACAATAGATATCGATGAAATTATACATACTGCCCTGACAGCTGTTGTACATGAATTATTTTCAGACCACTGCATTGCGGTGCATTACTCACAACTAATTCCTCATTAGTATGAACTATGCTAATAATTACAGTCTACATCTGCCATTTAACTCACCCGTGTCACAATAACGTTAACTGTCGTGAACATTATTTGGTCTTTAAGTACATGCCAGTGAACCATTGACCATAAAATCTCTTAATGTTAATTCCCAATGTGTAACAATAGGATTAGCAATAATTGGCATTTGGTGGCCATACACATGTCTGATAGTGTAATGATCTTGAGGATGATATAGGGTTGCTTATTGCAGGGTATAAGGGGTCAAGTAGAAGTCACTACCTGGAAAATCTCCCTCAGGTGAAACCTCATAAGGGGAATTATCCCAAAGAGTCCCATGGTTTCCATTGCTGGTCGCTACAAGAAAAATCAGCATTATTAAGTTGCAGGTTAAGATTCAGTTGATTATTTATCAGCTAATCAATCAAAACTGGATACATTTCAGAATATGCATGAAAAAGGTTGAGCTACTGAGCGAGGACATGAAAACTATTTTATTCACCATAAAACACAACCAAAAAATAGCAACAAAGTTATTTCCATAACCATAGGAGTCTACTGTATGATTAGACTATAATCATAAGCAAGTGTTTATGAATCACTATCAAATAGTGATGATACCAGGTATTCGGGAAAAGATAAAATAGTTCTCACCAATTCAGACAACAAAGATATTGTTACTCATTAAAGAGTCAGTGTTCTTGTTTTAGCAAGTTTTTATATCAAGGGCGTTAATATTGGAAGCAAATATGATGTATGACTAGATCAAATGTGCATGACTGCATCAGTTTGACAGTACACAATTATACAAATCAAGTACACTAATTTTCGGATTTTATTGTCATGTTGTTTTTAAAGTTGTTCCTCACACCTTTTCAAGCATCAACATTCTTGTCAGAATAACCCATCAAAATGGTAAACATCACAATGGTCTTAAATAGCATTTGACTGCATTTCAATAATTCAGCCATATATAGTGGTTAAATGATAACAGACACCCATTAAGAAATTCAGAAACAATGAAATTCTTAAATTCCACACAGTGTTAATGGTTATCAGAATGACATTTCACATTTCAATAAATCATGTCATCTCAGGTTTATAACATATATCGTCCTTCAGAAACCAATCTTCCTGAGGCAAAGATGACTACAAAAGTCCAGTTTCCACAATTGTCGTACAATGCTGGAATTTTGTGGCTCAATCGAGGCACCACCAGTGGCTATTACATCTTACCTGGGGAAGTGCATCAAATCACCTGATCACCTTGACTAAAAACATGAAAAGATTTTTAAAAGATTTCTCGACGCCCAGTTAATGGTACACATGCTTTGCAAATCCTGCAGTCAACCAAAATCTGCACATTGAAATCCATGTTGTTTACAAACCGGATGTCCAGGTTTTGATTGGACTATGCATAATGCATAGACTCACTAGTCCAGCCAAAAGGAAACTACAGAATTCCAGCCTAGTTTGGCAAGGGGGCAACTGGACTTTTACAGTTGGTTGACAAGCTTGCCCCGGGTAGATGACAGAAACCTATTCTATATATATAACATACCCATCCGATTTACAATTACAATGCATTACCCGAAAGGAAGTGAAGATGTCAAAATGTGTCACCATAGGTTGTTGTTGTTTGTTGTTTAACGCCGCACTCAGCAATATTCCAGCTGTATGACGGCGGTCTGTAAATAATTGAGTCTGGACCAAACACTCCAGTGATTGACATCATGAACATCGATCCACGCAATTTGGATCGATGACATGCATCAACCATGTCAGCAAGTCTGACCAGTCACCATAAGAGAATGTGGAATGACGTAACACTGGGGCACAAGTATTGGAATAGAGGAACTGATTTACAGGTCAGTTGAATTTAAGATGAATTAGAGTTAGCATTACTATGTGCAGGATTTCTCTTCATTATATCATCAGGTATACACTACATACATGCAACAGCTGGCAATTAATAGCCAAACCAACAACATTGACATAAAATCTTTGGCAACATGTGGCATTAATTATTTTAAAAATCTAGAATAACATTGCAGGATATTTTCAAACAGTTTAAACTGAAGACATATGGCCTTATCTACCTTCTTTTGCTTGGTTAACAACATCAACCAACAACTGGTATACACACCTCAAAGGGTATAATCAATTTAAGTAATATCATGTGTGTCTTGATTTTAGAATGGAAAACACCCTTGAACATACTCTGATCAATTATTTATGTGACAGTGAATTTGTCTGACTCAACATCATGATGTAGAAACCAATTTGCTTGTATTGTTGCACTTCGATCATTTTTTCTTTGCAGGTCTTAAGTTCCTACAGTGACATTGGACAATATGTGATCTTGGAAGTTCAACATCAATATATCTAAAAAAAACAGCAAACCTTTCATTGTAATAACGCATATTTTCAAAGTATTGATTGTCAGAATCAGATCTGAAACACATGCAGTGATGAAGTCACAATCAGCGTTTGTATATTCTTTAAAGGACTCTCTCTCTCTCTCTCTCATATATATATATATATATATATATATATATATATATATATATATATATGGCAGAGGTGTGAAATCATATTTTAAAATAAACAGAAAAAAAGATTTAACAACACCAAACATCTCACAAGCATCTTGATGAAGTAAATATTACATACTGATTACTATAGAGTACTGATGGTGAGTGAACTTAGTTGCATATGCTTTAGAACTAGTCCTTGCAACATTCACTTCATTTTTTCAAGAAACACAGACACTGATTACGGAACACACTGTGAGAAATGTCATGGTGCTTCTCAGGAATCCAGATCTGTATGCTGCAGCTGCAATATTACAAATCACTTCCCAGAAACCACATGGCCCAGAGAGATGAACTTTATGAGGACTTGTAGAATTGATCATGATTTAAATTGTTTCTCAGAAACCACAGAGTCCTAAAATACTCTATAAAGGAATCTTAATGTGAGTTTCAGATGTGTTGCAAGCATCATGATATTGCAAGAACATATTTTCCTAAAAACTGCTTGATGAATTGGATCAGAGTTTGCCCTTAATGTTAGGTTATAATAAAAACAGTTTGTATTCAAAACACTAGGTAAATTTTGTGCATTATTTCCAACTGTCAAGTCTGTTCTTCTACTTCTACATCTATCAGTATGTCAGAGTCAATGTGGTATATGACACATTATTACTTATTGATTGAGTATACTGTTATTTGATTGGTTGAATGCGAAATAAGGCTTACATGAAGAAATAGATGACTAACTAGAACTAAACATAATTTTGGCCTATAGGTTTATAACTTCAATGTTTTTAGGTGTTCACCAATTTGAAACATTTGGCTCATATATAAATCACATGGGTCAACATGATAGTATGTTATCGTAAACCTTGTTATGGAGAGGGGTAGTGGTTAAAGTGTTTGCTCATCATGCTGAAGGCAGGAGTTTGATTCCCTAAATAGACAATGTGTGAAGCCCATTTCTGATGTCCCTGCCATGATATATAAGTGTGTAGGGTTTACAATAATTTTATATTTGATAAAAAGCTAATAAAAACAAATTGTCTGTGTTGTACACTTATTTATTAATTAATCCACTGACACAATTTAGACGGAAATAGATCTAGGAGTTGAGGAGTTATGTTGTCTTACTAAACAAAGATTCAGAGAATCACATCACTAAAGGGAAGATCAATTCAAAAGTGTAAAAAGAGCAAATTGAAGTTGCTTGAACATCTAGATTACTTTAATCAGTAAAGTAGAAGGCTGTCTGATCATTCAACATTACCATGATTAACAACAAATTTCATATGAATAATCATTGATATTCAGTCGTTTGCCAGAATGCTGAGAACATTTTTTGTTAATTTTAATTTTCCTGAAATCTGAAAGTGAAATGAGGTGAATAATTCCAAAAAGGAAATCCTGAATCATCATGACAGGTAATTGCAAATGCCTTGTGAACTGGTAACATTTTTTCATTGAAATGAGAGCAGTGTGAAGTGATCTATAAAAGCCTTTTCTTTAACCAGATATTCTGACTATGTCGTATGTAGACATATATTATTAATTGCCCAGTTCCTTTTGTCAGACGATTGATAATTCTACTGAGAAATGCTTTGAAATAAATAATGGTGAGGTTCATCTTTCCTGTGCGCAGAACAGTATTGATGTCAATCTTTACACTGATCTTTACAGAAATGATAAATCATATAACTTTCAAGCTTTTCTCTTATGAGAGTCTGTATTGTGGCTAAGTGGATGTTAGCTTATTGTGACATTTTTAGTTATCATTTTCTAACATGTTAATCAATTGTCTTGCACAAAGGTTTTCTGTGGGACTAAAGTGAGTAAAATCAGGTTTGTTTGGACAACATGACAGTCACTGCGTACAATGCAATCATAAGTTACCACGTGACAGACAATCACCAATCTGGATTTCTGAGAAGCACCATGACATTTCTCACAGTGTGTTCCATAGTGAGTGTCAGAGTTTCTTGAGAAATATGTGAGTGAGTGGGTTGGGCTTAACCTCACTTTGAACAGTATTCCAGTATTTCATGGCATGTCAGCTAAATGTGGAGGGAAAGCTGAAGTGATGCAGGTCTTAGATGTTTACCACTTTGGGCAAACCCACAGGCTCAGATATGCTGCTGACAACCCTAAAAACATTACTGGCGTAATCTGGTATCTGAACCAACGATCATTTGTTTCTGGTACATGCACCCAAGGGATGCAAATCTGCTCAGTAAATTGCGGCACCTAAGACAGGGCTACCTGTGCCTCCTTGAGAAAATGAAGCGAATATTGCAAGGTATAGTTCTAAAGCTTATGCAAACATCACTCACTATCAACACACTCAACAAACAAAAGATCATGAAATAATAAGCATTTAATAATGTCATCAAGATGGACAAACAACAACTGGTTGTGCATAATTGGGTATTGTAAAGTCAGTTGACAGAATCAATTTGAATATTTTTCTAGATTCTAGTCTATATTTGGATTTCAAATTTAGGGCTGAGGAAGAGGACTGAAACACATTTGTAGGAAGTAGGGTAGGGGTTATGGGAAGCTTGCATGTCTCTGAAATGAGGGATTTAAATGTCTTTCATATTAATTGAGTGCAATGCAATCTTTACATTTTAAATAAATGAACTGTAACAAAATACTTATACATACAACATGTTAATGACAATAAGTATAATGATAAGTGAACTTAACTCACATAACACATCTGGCAACATATTTAAATAATAATCTAAAATGTTGATGTTTTCAGATGATGATGCTTAAACACTCTCCATAATTTGAAAATGATATTTTCAATATAAAAACCAA